AAGTAGCTCTTACTTCTATTTCACATAGTATAGTTTTTTGTCATATATTCTATATATGTATAATTAACTATTAAATAAAAGAGATAGAGGATAGACCTCTCTTTAAAAAAAAAAAAAAAACAACACTAAAAATAAATATTTACTTTAAATATCTAATGTAGCAATTTTAAATATTTAAAGTAGCAATTTTATTTATTAAATATTTAAAATAGCAACTTCAGATAGTTTAAATAGCAACTTCAAATATCTAAAGTAACAACTTTAGATATTTATATAAAATAATAATTTTAGATATCTAAATAATAATTTTAAATAACTAAAGTAGCAACTTCACAAATTTAGATTTAGATATATAAAGTAGCAATTTTACAACTTTTAAATATTTAAAATAGCAACTTCAGATATCTAAAGTAATAACTTCATATATCTAAGTAGCAACTTCAGATATCTAAAGTAATAACTAAAGTAGTAATTTTAGATATCTAAAATAGAAACCTCGGATATCTAAAATAGCAACTTCAAATATTTAAAGTAGCAACTTTAGATATCTAAAGTAGCAACTTTAGATATCTAAAGTAGTAACTTCAGATACCATATCTAAAGTTGCAACTTTAAATAAAATGCTTCTTCAAATACAAGGGTTGCCTATTTGAAGTTGCAACTTCAGATAGATGGCAACTTCAGATGCGACGAAATCATACATTATGAAAATACTGTAGCATAAATTATTTCAAGAAAACGCTATGCACGTTCCGAAATAACGCGCACTCCATATAATGGGTCAACCCAGATGAAGCGGTTATATAGTAAATTTATTTTTGTCTCAAAATAACGATATATCTATGCGCATATTCTAAGTAACGAGCATATATTCAAAACAACGCGTAGGTGGATGATAAAAAAGTAAATGCAATATTAAAAAGTTGAAGGAAAATGCCATTTTTAAAAGTTTGGTTTTATTCAATTAAAAAAAATTAAAGACTTTTGCATTCAAAATTTTATAATTATCAAGTAAAAAAAAATAAATATTAACTTATTTCCCTTTTGGTTTGATTCGTCAACTGAATCAATTTTACATGGATAATACCACTAACCACTGTATTAAAACTTTCTTATTCAGGTCATCATTATTCACACGAAATTTATGGAAAGTCAAAAGGTCCATCTGAAATGATTTTTATCCTAATTTAAAATATACGGGTGCCAAATAAATTATAACATATATGCACGGACTACTGCGAATATATTGAAAAAAACAAAATCTTTTTGAACAATAAAGAATATAAAAAGAAACAAACATTTCAAGAAATATTTATGAAGCAAATAATTAAGCGACAAGAAACATAATTCTTGCGTTTATATTTTAAACCGATTTAATGTTTAGGAGGTTCAATATTGTCTACACCTTCAACCGCACTTTGACCACCAAGATAAACATTATCATTTTCATTAGAAACAACTACGTATCCTCCCCGCACCTTAACCGTAACTTTATTTATATCTTTGTCAATAAATCCCAAACGCCTTACTAAAGCAACACAACTTGTCGAACCGGTTCCACAAGCTAAAGTTATGCGATTAATGCCTCGTTCAAAAGTTACCACCTCAATTGTAGATTTGTCAACAACCGAAACTTTATTGAGATTAATCCCAATTGGAAATCGATTCGGATCTTGCAAAGAATTACCGATACTAATAAGTTTTCCATCATCAATTTTGTCAAGAGTAACAAGATGAGGTTCCGAAGTATTAACATAGTACCAAGTAACGTCGTCAGTAATTAATTTTCCTTCGCTATTTAAAACACCTTTTCTAACAAAA